AATTTCACCTTCAGGCTTTCTGAAAAATTAACCACAATTGATAGGTGTACCTAAGTTGGACTCTTAGGTTGATGCCTATCTACGTAATCCAAAATCTGGTCTTCGACTATAGCGATTAACCATAATGAGGGGGCGCCCACTGCCATTCGGCTGTACTCTTGCAGTCTTGCTACTCTATCATATTGGCAAGCTCAGAACAGGCCTTAATGATATTAATATGATTTTCTGATAAATTTGGCTCTTAATTCTGTTTTTTTTCGTTCCCAGCCTTACTAGTAGCGTACCTTTCAGCATAACAAAGCTGTAGAATCTATGCGTTAACTGAACTTTGACTACGAATAATGACTTCTTGCAATCTAAAATGTTATATTGGCTGCTGTCTTTCAAGAGAAGAAATTGACGAAAGAAGTTCTGGATGTTACCTTTTCTTAAGAAAGTAGATATAACATTTTCGATAAGCTTAATCATACTCTCTGTTCATGTCTTTGAATGTACAATAGTCGTTAACAACTGGTTTCTGTATGACTCAGTCAGACTTCCGCACGAGAAGGCAGTAAACTTTTGGGAGTGGTAAATTATGTAAATATCAATATGAATGTCATTTTCGCAGCTTCAACAGTCAACGATCCTCCACGAAAAAAAGTAAACAAATGAAAATTTTCCAAGAGCAAAAAATAGTGGAATAAAAACGACGAATAATCCCCATCAACCCACTGTTCAGCACCAAAGGTGCATGAATGAGTTGTATGGGATGAATAATATGTTCTATAATTCTTCTTCATATGTTCTTTGCATATTTCATTTTTGCGGAAAAAAAGATTATTTGTACTTCATCTCTCACGTGAATAGCACATTATGACTTTTATCCAGACAATCTTTCAACACTCAGAATTTTTATTGCGCAATCGTAGATTTTCTTCTACACTTTGAATGATGCCTATGTACTGTGTTTCATGTTCATTTTTACGCACAATGCTCTTTACGATAAGAGTCTTAGCATCGAGTACAAGGTCATGGCGAGTCAAAGGTATATATCAGTCAGGCGTCACATTCGAAAGGATTATTTTCGTTCAACTCGTGGTCTCCTCCACTTCCTTTCTGCTTACTTACTAAGTGATTGAGTTGTTTGCTCAAACCAGAAATGAATCTCTATACGCCTGGTAATGGGTTATTTGGTACTCATGTCACCTGGGAGGATATTGAGGAGGACATGCAAAGAGAGTTGCATACCAACTCTTCCTTTGGTCCTAACAAAACTGCACAAAATATTGGGGATGGCAAAGTAAGTAGGTCGTCTTTATTTTTTGTTCTGTAACATTAGAGATGTGAAATTATTGCACATTACAGGGATTTATGTCCAGGATAGTACTAATAGATCCAGACTGGCAACAAAAAGACAAAGATCTACCTAAAAAGTTCATTGTAAAAGTAAGCCTTATAGAGGAAATTTTAAAATGCTTGTGTAAATTATCAAATACTCAATTTGTTAAGATTCTCACCCAATTGGCAATACAGAATTTCGCGAATGAAATGTCAAAGAAGAATGAAACTGATAATTTACTTGGCGACGAGGAATTCAAAGTTACTTTCGAAAAGCAGCAGAAAGCCGTGAGTTTCATAATGAGATTGCCTAATAAATTCTTATTATGATGTGCAACAAGTTAGAGATTTGATGATTTAAAAGGTATTTTTAATTAAGCTTTTAAAGATTGTGCGAATTTCCTTCTGTTCATCCCAATTAA